CCACCAGATATCTATTGTCATCGAAAATAGCCACATTGCAACTGATCATGAACTTAGCTCCAACTTTCCATGATTTTCCTCAAGCATTAAGTCCTTTAGCTTTTCTCCACGTCCTTGGCTCTTACCGGCATCCTTGCCATTCACCATCACCCTATCCTTTAGCCACATATCTGACATCTTCATCGCGTTACTTCGTAACCAAAGGCTCAACCCTATACCGATTTCTTGCCTTAAACAATCCTTTCGCTAAACCATTATTTTCATGTTCACATACTATCTTTTCCTTATTCCAAGAGGAATAAAAATAAAATAACAAATAAACTTAACTAAACCTAGATTTACAAGCTCTACTTCACCAGACGTAGCACGATGGTCAAACTTGCTAAAACTCCAACAAACTCGAGCACTTCCAATACTCTCAAAACATCATCCATTCCCATTACCCATGAAACTTCATACTACTTCATCTTTATTTCACAAGATTTCCATGTAACTCCAACTTTTGCAACTTGCTTGCAGCGTACCTCTCTAATTATTTTACTGTTGATGCTCGTGTGGCTCCACTCTTCTGTGTCCTCTTGGTTGTTCCCATCCGAAAATCCACCTAACGGTCGAAGACAGGATACCATGTCTGGTTTGTCTCCACAATAATGCAAATTAACAATCAAACTTTTTTTAGATAATTTGACACTATAAATTCTCACTATAAATTATCTCCTTAAGGTTTGGGCTTGGGTTGCGAATAAGTAAGAAATAAAAGAGAATATTAACGGTCAAAATTATTAGAAAGTGATAGTTTTACATTATGGTGGAAATCGGTTCCAACAATAGCACCAACTAAGGGTCAAAGACAGATGCCATGTCCGGTTTGTCTCCACGAGCCAATTAACAGTCAACTTTCTTTAGATAATTTGACACTTTTAAATTCTCTCCTTAAGGTTTGGGTTTGGGTTGTGAATAAGTGAAAAATACAAAAGAATTTTAACTCTCAAATTATTAGAAAGTGATAGTTTTTACATTATGGTGTGAAAAGCGGTTCGAACAATAGCACCAACTAACGGTCAAAGACATGATACCATGTCTGGTTTGTCTCCACGTAAAATTCTTTAAGTCTTTATTCTGCAAAATAAAATACAGAGTATATCTGAACAAAGATGTACTCTAATATCAAGACATTCTAGAAGATCAAGATTTATGCAAACCGACAAGACAAGACAGGTGGGACCCACAAGAAGACCCACTGCAGACTGTCGGCACCAATCACCTGCCTCACAACAAAAAGAGACAGATAACTCTGACTCAGCTGGACCCAAGAGAAAGACATGCACCAATTAAAAGTCGACAAGAAAAAGTAGAAGGCAAATAAGTCAACAAAGCTAATAATGAAGATTCTTTCACATCCCCTATAAAACCCAGCTTCGGGATCAGAAGGGAATACAAGCAATTTCTAAAACCTTCTGTCTAAAATCCTTCTCTCTACAAAGCTTCAAAACATTTCTTTAAGTCTTATAAAATTGTAATTTTTAAAATCATTTACTTCAAAATTTTGTATTTACTTCAAATTAAATAAAAATCAAAAGTTTTAATCACTTACGTTTTTCAAAAGCTTTATATCAAAATTTTAAATATTTAATAGTAAAAAGAAAGGAAAGAAAATAATATACAGAGTCTACCAGAATATACATTGTTCGGAAATTATGAGTGAAAAGTAAAAATTATACAATACTATTAGGTTTTTTTTTTTTTAGTTTCCTAAATTTTGGGTTTTACAATGGTGACTTGCCAACGGACTTACTGCCTTGGAGGACTTGCCGCCTGGAACATCGACCTTATCAGTGAGTCAGAAAATTTAGGTTTTTTTTTTTGATGTTTATATATAAATAGATTGATATATTTACATTTGTACATCCGCAAAAGGGTCTTGGCCGAAAGAACCACCGAAAGGATCTTCGTCAGTGTTACCATGTAAAATTTTCTTTCTTTTTTTTTACTATTAAATATTTAAAATTTTGATATAAAGCTTTTGAAAAACGTAAGTGATTAAAACTTTTGATTTTTATTTAATTTGAAGTAAATAC